GCACGCCAACTGTCATTGGCTTGTTTAGTTAACACTCGAAGGTGATTGGGCTCTCGGGCGAGATCCCAATTCGTCAGTCACGACTGACGTAACGTCTCCGTTCCCTCCTTCAGGGAACGAGGGTTACACAAGTAACCAAGACGTTTTTTTGTGCACCAAATCAGCATATTAGAATGATTTCCGATCTGATATAGTAAATATTCACAACAATAACTAAGTTTTAAAATGTAGATCATACTATTACATGCGATAATTTCAGGAGTACAGTTTAATATGTAATAGAATGTCTGTGTTTATGAGTCTTTTATGTTTTTAACTGATAATACATCTTTGACAATTTGGTTAAATATTGGCCCGACACCTTTTTACTAATTTACACATTAGCATGAAATGATGCCACTTCGGGAAGAGTAAAATGGACTAAAATGATGATAATGACATGATGAAATTGATTAATGCTGCATCTAGCATAACTGATGTTTGACTAATGCTGTTATCATAAATCATATAACAGACCCTACAACATCAAAATGCTTAGTGTTCCTGGTAGTATTCTGTAATACAGTACAGCACTGACAGCTCAAGAATCTTCTCTAGACCACAGGAACATATAGAAACATCTTTTCCCCCCCTTGTATGCAAAAAATAATAAGGCATTGTTACCTTGTTCATGATTTGACGATATATATGTAATTGGACAAGCCTCCTTTTTATCACAGTTTTTAATGTGTGTGATCTTATTAAACAGACAGAGAGAACTGACTGACCCTTCTATCTACATTTGGCTCCTGCCACCCTACAGTAAATGGACAAGCCCTTTATGGTGAAATGTTCATAACGCTGAGAGAGGAGAGGAAAATCATATCTGTCATCGATAAAGGTGATGAAAATCAAAGAGACTCGTACTGTTCATCATTTTGGAAGCTGAATACCCTAGAGTTCGCCTGCTCTTTTATACTTAGGGGAAAATTGTAAAAAATTAATTTCCTCTCTAAGGCCCGGTAGAAACAGTAAACAGTAAACACTCTAAATAAATGATGTTTTTTCTTCGCTCTCTCTTTTGAATGGACAGATGGCCCCTGCTGGGGCCTTGGTCTCCGTGGCCCACCGCGGCCCTGTATGCGGAAAGCAAACCTGAGCGGCGGACCTCAGCGGTTGTTTAATCGAATCAGCCCGGGTCTGAGTGGATCTGACTTCTCTTCTGTCCCGAGTGAGGGCTTCCAGTCACTGCCTGCCATGGTTACCCTTCAGCCCCTATAAACAAACCACAGTAAACCCCATCCGAGAATGCCCGCAGTTAGAGCCTCTGAGCCTCTGCGGAGACATGAAAGTTCCGACTCTCGGTTCAGGCTTTCATCTGCGCTCATTTGGTGTGAGCTGATACCAGCGTTATTACGCTCAAACTGGAAAGCTTGAATAAAAGGAGTTGTTGGGAATTTGCGAAACTTAAAAACTTGTGCAGGCAGTTGATTTGGAATGTTTGAGAGAGGGTTTGTGGTATCGGCACCATGTCTGCCATCATATTGATGCTTTATGAACGCACACTCGTGGTTTACAGCACAAATGTAAGTTTAAAACATAAATGTAAGTATGAGTGTGTTGATTTTGTTTTTTTAATGTAATACATTTTACTATTCTGTATACAGACTACAGTTCAAAAGTTAGGGGTTGGTAAGAGTTTTTAAATGTTTTTGAAAGAATTCACAACAAGGCTGCATTTATTTGATCAAAAACGGAAACCGCAATATTGTGAAATATTATTATAATTCAGTGTAACGGATTTCGATTTTAGTATATTTTAAAATATAATTTATTCCTTTGATGGCAAAGCTGAATTTTCAGCAGCCATTACTGTGGAAGTCATTTTAATGTGTCTTTGTTCAATAAAAATATTAATTTCTTAAAACCTTACTGACCCCTAACTTTTGAATGGTTGTATATTTATATAACATAATATCATTTTTAATTATTATTTTAAAGTTTTACTCCAGTATATATATACACGGTATGAGTTGCCAAAAATAACAATTCTAAATTGAACTTTTCAATTTGTACATGATTTTGGGAAAAGTTTAAGTGAGATGCCAATAAACTTTAGAAAAAGGAGGAGCATTGGGGGAAGAGTAGATTCTGTCCCTTTCTTTCCTCATATGGGAGGAGAGGGGACCATTTTGCTCTAAGTTATATATATACAGCACTTAATCCCAATGGAGTTTTTTTCTTCAATTAGATTTTCTTCGTCAAAGGCATATGAATAGGTCTTCGTTGCAGCCTCTTCTTAAGGGATGCAAAAGAAAAAAATACAGTACTCTGACATCCTATTCAGTTCTTTCTTTTTCCCGTGGGATGACTATATATATTTCACTTTTCAAGTAATCTGTCCCAAAAGGACACAGAGAGGACAATTGCACCCCATAGAACATAAGTGGGTGCTCTATCAGACCTATTCAGAAGTTCAGTTTTGAGTATGTGATAGAGAGGTATGGAGACAAACATTAAAATCTCTTCTTAAGTGCCTTAGAAAGATCCAGAAAAGCCTATCAAAATAGTTTACTACTCCTTGTCTGGTTATCTTCTTTCTTGTCTTGTATTGTGTCCATACAGTGTTCTTTTATAAATAAATGAAGAGGACAAGATGTGTTATTCTCTGCCTGCAGTTATCAAAATATTGTGTCTTCTGTCTTCACTCACAAAGAAAGAACAAATAGGGAATATATATATTGTTATATATAACAGTATATGCGTTTTGAGTAAAACTTTTCCAGTACAGGGAAGGAGAGGACAGGATGGGCTAAGGTGGGACAGAACATCCATTTAAGCCTGCGGGCAACTACAGTTGCCAAAGGCTTTGCCGTTCTTTTTCCATTTGTAAACATTTTTTGGCTGACTACTGATGTTTTAAAACCCCGAGGAAGGGCTTTTGACAACTTGCAGAATAATGTGTCATGTGGTGGTGTTTAATTCATGCTCCCATTTCTTCA